AAACCACAGAAGGCAGGAGGAAAGAGACAAAGCAACATTAATAAAACAGGAAAACACCCGCACGGAGTCAATACAGACAGCAACGAGCCAGCGAGGACCAACCAGGAGAAGAACAGGGGAGGGCAGAAAAGGCACCTAGAATGAGAAGAGCAAGACCACAGAGTCGACATAGAAAAAGGGGGAGCAGGAAAACATTGTGGCAAGTTTAAGTGAATAAATCTGAATATTCAGGTACAGTTTTTGAAACTAAGTTTTCTATCTATTTAAACTGTAACTATTTAAGAAATATATTTAAATTCGTAAAGAAATCCACTGTCAAACATCTTTCCACAACGAAAGGTTCAGCCTGACGTGGTCTCCTTGGTGTGCAAATGTCCAGGGAATAAGTAACTAAAACTGTAAATTACACATTTCAGAGAAGAGAGAAGACCTGCAGATGCATTTCATGAGACTAGCACGATCTTGATGCCGGACACCAGAAACAGACGCGCGAAGCAAAGTGACAAGTCAGTCTCTCTCACGTAAACCAGCGCAAGAATTTCACAAGAAATACAAGCAAGTGGAACCTAGTGACACATGGAAGACCAGTATACCACGACCGAGTTCTGCTTTTCTCCCCAAAGACTACAAAGTAGGTATGGCGTTAGGAAAGTCAATCAATATAATTTCTCCTATTAATATATTAAGAAAAAAATTTAAAGATAAAAAAATCATCTCAATAGATTTGGTAGAAATATTTTAAACAATATACTCATGATTTAAAAACAGCTTTTAGCAAAACAGGAATAGAAAAAACTCCCATTGTTTACTACAGTAAAGGGCTCCGTAAAAAGCACAGCACCCTTGTGGGTGAAATGGTGAGTCTGCCTCTCACTCGGGGAACAAAGGAAGAAGGTCCATTATCATTGCTTCTCCTTAACGTTATACCAGAAATCGCTGCCACAGTGACAAGGAGAAGAAATAAATGGTGCAAAAAATAGAAAGGAACAAAGCTGTCATTATCTATTGATTATATGATTACCTACAGAGAAAATCCAATAGATTCCAGACCAATAATTAGAATCAATAAAGGCTTACCAAAATTGATGGGATTCAGTCATTTTACAGAAATCCATTTTATTTCTCCATAGCAGCAACAAATATATAGGAAACAGTTCTTTCAAAAAACAGTATTTACAACAGTATTTTAAAATTACCAAGTATCTAAGAATAGCTCTTAAGAAAGTTATGCAAGACTTTCATGGAATTTTTTAAAAATTCTGACATAATAGAGAAGACCTAAAAAAATTAAGAGATGTGCCCAATTCATGGTTTGGGAGATTCAACATTAAATGCAAACGACCGAGGAAAGCAGAGGCACTCTTAACACAGACAAGGACGAAAGACTTGTTTTCATCAAATGCTGGCTTACGATAAAGGCATGGGAATGAAGGCAGTTTGCTACTAGGTCAGGAACAGACAAACAGACCAGGGAACGGGACAAGGGACCCCAAACAGACCTGCACACATGTGGACACTCAGCACCTGGCAGCGGGGCCCCAGATTGTTGGGGAAAGTCCTTCCTGTAAAGGGTGCTGAGACAACTGGCTGGTGAAAAATCTGTGAAAATACTACTTCACACCATTGAAAAAACAACAAACAGCAACAAAAACACTGCCAGTGGTCAAAGATAAGATGGATGAACTTTCAGAAGTCAACACAGGAGGACAGCTCCACCGTCCTGGCGCAGAAGAGGGTCCCTAAGTGTGCGGTTGTCAGCAAAACACAACTGGAAACGACCTCACATCCAGACACGAACAGCGGCTGACCACCCGGCAGGACAGACTCCACAAGGGCTCCAGAGCTGAGGGGCTCCTCTGCGACCGGGCGCCCCACCCCTGGGCCCTCTGCACGGCCCAGGCCAGCTCTGCCTCAGAGCTGTTCTTCCTTTTTCATGCGAAGCAGCACATGTCTACAGCCAGAGCTCTGTCAGCCCCCTTCCTGCCTGGAGACGTCTGCGAGTCGGACAGGCTCCTCTAGTCTTGTCCTGTCTCTGCTCCTTCCAGTCCAAGCCAGCAGTGTTGCTACTGATACCACATTCTCAGAAACTCTGTGGGTCTCCTGTGAGTGACAGGAGGCTCCTCCACACAGCTCTCTTGGATAACCCCATGTATTCCTGGCTTCTGCAGAGACGGCTGAATGGCTCGGTAAGTCACACATCTAATCTCTTCAGCAAAAGGCTGAAGGCACACCCTCGGGCTTCTCTCCCGTGCCTGCTTCCAGACACCGAATGTTCTAATGCTAGCGTCTTTTGCAAACTGGACTGGCTGCAAATTTCCCAAACCATCAGTACCTGAATATCAATCCTCGGTCTAAGTAAGACTGCATACACTCCTCTCCCTGAGCATTCTACCTGGAAAATGAGGCCTTACTAAAAATGTCTGGTAGGTTAGCGCTGGCCTAAACGCTACAGAAAGGGTACCGGACCTGTAAGCAACTTGATAAAAAGCTCCGAAGAACTTTCCTTCAGTAAAACTTCAGAAAGTGACTTTCTAAATTCTGAAGCAAATTTTATACCTGCTTTATCTAACATTTTCTATATTCCATTTTTTGTGTGTTGATGCTCTGGGCAGAGCACTTGGGGCATCTCCCGGGCCCGCCTCCTCCCACTCACTGCCGTGGCTGCCTGCCTCCCAGGCCACACAAACCCCTCACTTCAGTGCTTTACACAGCAGCGCTCTAGCAGCAAGAGGGTCTCAAGTGTTTCTAGGAAGGAACACAGTTACCACCTCTTCAAACACCATTTTGCTTCTATCGCCCACGTTTGCCTCCTATCTCCCTGCCCCTGCACTGACAAGAGTTTTTTGGGGATTATCCACCAGACTGTGATGTAGCGTTTTAAAGCCTACGAGCAAAAGAAGTAGAAACTGAGACAAGCAGCTGTCAGCTCCCGAGCTGACGGGACTCTACGTGTAGCACCAAGAATTCTGATAGTCTGTTTTCTGCCACAAGTGACACAAGTAACGTAAGGAACATACATTGATTTCAGAGTTCAATCTTGTAACATTTTCCTTGAAAGACAAAGTATATCAAGTGACTCAAAATCTTTAATTCTGTGGAGAACTTCTTTCAGCTTTACTTTCTTAAACTGGACAAGCCTCTTAAGAGTATTAGGTCAGTGGTGGAAAAAGCACCTTCCTTTTCAGAACTGTGCACTGCTTTGCAAAACAAAAGAATACTTAAAAGTCTACCCTTTATTAAATTCAGAAGCATATTTAGTAAATACTAAACTGTATCATTAGTCACAATTCAATGGAAACCTTGCAACAGGAAAGCAAACTTGGTTGAATCAGATGTAAACCATAAGTCCCTAAGTCAGTGTCCTCTATAATTTTTACATTTTACGGTTTTCACCCCTTCTGCTAAATCTGTATAATTGCATTCTCAGATTGTGAAAAACGAGGAAAAGCAGCATTGTGAAGCAGGCATGAGATATTCTGGAGCTAAACAGGGGTGCAGCCATAATTCTGTCTACTAGTCTCTCCAAGCTTGACTGAACATGTTAAATACAAAAATGTTGACGGAAAAACTAGAACAGGTCAGACTTGGTAGAAAGTCTGTACCTTCCTCAGTCTGTAACCAGACTTTTTAAAAGGATATACAGAATTTAAAAAAAAAGATATGTGTGTGAATGTTGGTGTATTTATGTATACATAAATATGCACATCCATTCTTCTAAGTCTTTATGTATCCCCACATCTGAAAGGCTTCTCAGAATTTGTCAAAAGTTACTGAGATTACAGATAATGCTTTTCCTTCTCTTGTTATTTGGTATTACCTAATTTTTCTATAAATAAATATAACCAAAATATGAAGAACAATGATAATTATTGTAGCTTAAAAATGCTTATAATGCATTAACTTTCATGACCATAATTAACATTTCCTGTTAATTTGATAAGGGGAAAAAGTGTCAAGTCTCTCTGCACTGTCAGTTTACTAAAGAAATAAATTAAAGACAGTCCACATAAATAATACATTGAAGAGCTGTAATAAAATGTTAATACTGTTCAATGAATTCTATCAGTTAAAGACAGAAGAGCCCTAGAAAAAAGAAGGAACAGCACTCTCACCAGGCCTTTAGCATCACACAACAGAAGCGGTCGTGAAATGACACCGCACATTTGAGAACTCATAAAAGCAACAGAAGTGGAGAAAAACAAGATCAGCGAGAAAGCAAAGAAAACAAACTCGGGAATTCCCAAGAACAGATGTGTTTGCTTGAGAGATGGGAGTAGGCGAGGTCTAATGGCAGCTGCGGAAGGACAGCAGAGAGGGAGTGGAAGGGCTAAGACGTGCAGGGGGACCTGGGTGGCTGAGCTCTGACAGGGCAGGGGGCGGGGCTGGCATTGGGCAGGAGGTGGGGCTCACACCGGGGGCAGGGCTGACATGTGCAGCGCCCCCGGGACACGTGCAGCGCCCCCGGGACACGTGCAGCGCCCTCGGCTGTCGGGGGTGCAGGGCCTGGACACCCACCCTGCTGGGACGCGCAGTCTGGGGGGGGCACGTCCTGCCCCCGGTGCACTGGCTCACAGAGCGGGTGAGGGACAAGCGTAGGACTCTACTGTTGCTCCTAGAGTTGCTGCTAGTGGAGACCCCAGACCTCCGATGGGACCCGCGGTGGCCCCCACCCCACCACACGCAGCCCCGCCGCGCGCGGGCTCCCCCTCGCTGTGTCCTCGGCCTGGAGCTCGGCTTCTGATGCTCAGACGGGCCTCGCGCCTGCTCAGTCACCGCCCACCGCCCCACCTGCTGACGACTGCATTACCACCACATTGCTATGAGGAAAAGCATCCGATTTCCAGGTTAGTCTAACAAAAATAATTTTGCCCCCTCAAATACTATTTTCTAATACAGGCTAAAGAAGGCTCCCTGAAGCTCCAAGGAAGCCATTTCTTCCACATGGAGTAAAACACATTTCCATAAAATCACATTCAGTAAAACCCAAAACTCAGACCTACCTTATGGGAATGATGTAGGAAAAGAGGAGGAGAAACCGGAGAAGATTGCGATACCAGGGGCCCACGAACCCTTGTAAGGTCACCATGACAACTGAGAGGGCAACTAAAGCCAGAAACAGTGCTTTGGTCAGCTGGTTGAGTTCAAGGTCCAACAGGCCAGCCTGAAAGAGAAGCACGGAATTAGGACAAACCACAGGGTCCCTAAGGCCGCGCGTCTGAACACACGATAGGATGGCGTTCTTCAGCCTTCTGCACCAGCCTTCATTACCGCGAAACACAAACATGTGTGAGCTTTCCACTTTCTCCCACAAACTTCTCCTTGTATTTACAATTTCTCCTGAAAAGCCTCTTAGAGATTCAGGAAGGATTTCTGAAAACAAGTCACGGTCCCAGAGTGTTTCCAGAAAGGGTCCACTGAGAAAACACAAGTCCAGAGTATCCGACCACAGACAATGCAGGCCCTTCCCCTACGTGCAGAGGCTGCGACCACCCGCTGGACACGGGGACACGAGGGGGCAGACGCGAACAAGGCCTGGAGGTCCGGACGGCTCTTCTGAGTACACGCGCACCTTCCTCTGCCCAGGCCACGTCAGGGCACCACTTAAGATTTTACTCAGGACAGGACAGTGTGTCTGTCGTCACTCTGCCAGGAGCCTCTCTGAAGAGACCTTCTCTTCGTTAAGGAGAAAAGCAGCGGCAGGAGCAGTTGAGCAGTGACTGACGACAGGCAGCACAGGAGCGGCGGAGAGGAAACCGGCGACGATGCTGTTATTCCTCTCCCTGTTGCTGCTGCTGAACATCTGGCTCTGACTCTGCCCCTCACTAACCGCGGGGCCCTAGGGAATGTTCTCACACTCTTCAAGCCTCACTTTCCTCACGTGCCAACTGCGAGTAACAGAGGTGCCCGTAGGAGTCCAGACAAGGGGGCTCCCGGGGGGCCCTGGGCACTGGTGGGGCTACCTGTCACTCCTGGTCCCCCCAGGGCAGGGCCCAGCACGCGGCTCACAGAACTGCCTATTCACACTGTATGCGACGCTAACGGAAGACCGAACCCCACCAGGTTATCCACCTGCCATCTGAGTTTCTCCTGAATCTGGTACAAATGTTGAGAGTAATTTAAAAAGAAAACAGGATTACCAAAATTTTGATAAAATAAGTGGGGTACTATAATCCCCAAATTTAAAGCTTTTAGAATTACTGAGCTAATTAGTAACAGTTCATTTTGTAGTGCCTTTTGAAATACCATTATTTTTGGCCAATAAAAAGCTAGACTTTTCCACATGTCACATTTTTAGTTTATATCTGGTTTTGATTAATATTTGCCACAAACTCTCATGAGAACATCAGAATATGTAGGTAAAAAGAAAACACAAAACTTTGTCAGAAAACCCATTAAGTGCAGCTGTGAAGAAAATTCATTCATTAAAGAAGTAAGTTTAAATGTCTACTATGTTTTTTGCTAAACTCGAAGGTTATAAAAAATGAGTAAGCTATGAGCTTTTACATGCAAGAAACAGACAACCTAGTAGGAAAAATAAGATGGATGTTATACCAGTAACATACGCCATAACACAGAAATCTGCTGTAACTGGGCCTGTGGATGAAGCCACTGCTCACAGCTGACAATCTGCTGCTGTCGGCTGGCACCTCACGGCCTTCAACGAGGGTGCAGAAACCACGGGACCGACAACACGGGCCAGAGCAACACGACCCGAATCTGTCGAGAGCAGGCATTGTGCTTCCACGCCAGACACTGCAGGGTCTGCGTGGGGGGCCAGGGGCCACTGGGCCCCGCTGCAAAGACCCGCGGGGACCACATGCATGGTGGCTCTGCAGCCCCGCCCCACAGGCCCCCCTCGCCAGGCCCTGCCCCCTCACGGGTGGCCCAAACCCCGGGAAGGGAAGCCCCAGGCCTGTGCACTGCACTCTCCACGTCACTCGCTATTTGGCCTCCTGACCCGGAGGCTGAGCACGTTCCGGCGATGCGCTATCGGGGACGATCGTCCCCCTGTGTCCGTGGCCGCAGGTGAGCCCCTCCTGGGCCGGGCGGGCACGTGGCCACGTGGTCCCTGCAGCCCAGCGTGCGAAATGGGGTCCGGGGTCGGCCCGGCAGTGGTGTGGAGCCAATCCGATCCAGTCCTGGTCCCAGTCAGCGGCACGAGGGGGCCTGGAAGCCACGGTTCTGGAAGCTTCGGCCGCGCAGCCAGCAGCTGGGCCCACGGCGCCTGATCTATCAACTCCATTTACAAACCAGCACGAGGGGGACAATTCCCTAGCAATTTCCACTCCTTCAACTCCTACATAGTTTATGCTTGACTTATTGAGAAAAATAGGGTTTTGGATTAAAATGAAGAAAATTAAGCCAGGGAAGTGGAGCATGTTTCAAAGCCCAGATCCCTCTGCTGTGACAAAGGCAGTCTAGGATTCCGGCCTCGCTGAGGGTCAGATGAAGTCATTACTCATTCAGTCAGGGAAAAAGGACTCAATTACCTCAACGTAAAGATGCTATCAATGAATGCAAAGTGCATATTTTACTCTATTCATCCAAATCCCATTAAAAAGTGAAAGGAATGATTTAATCTGGCCTTCCAGAGTTGGTCTTTTCTTGTAACAAAATAAAGAATCACTGTCTGGCAAAAATGCATAACCGCTACCTCACACTTTCCCCGGCATCAGCAGTGAAGGGCTGTAAAAGCAGGGACAAAAACAGTCAGGAATGAGCACAAAGTTTCCTTTGAACACAGGCCACGGACAGGATGGAAACATCGAAAGCAGCCCACTGCACACTGATCCGCAGCGAGTTCAAAGTGTTAACACCCTTCCAGTTTCCAGTTGATGAGGACACGCGGTCAGCTGCCTGATGATGCACACACCTGAACGCTGTCTTCTCCAAGTCTGTCTCATCTGAAGGACGCAATAAAAAGTTTAGCAGAGAAAACAATAGCTTCTCAGTGAAGAGCCGTCCCCTGCTTTCTTTCAGGAGCCTTTTCCAAACTTCGACTGTTCTTCCTGGAACATAACTGCTACCATGCCAGAGCACATACTATGAGCCTAATTTTTTTTTTTTCGGTCGATTCTAACAAAACGCAGTGAGAAGAAAAGAGACATTTCAACTATTTTTTAAAGTCCACTTTCAGTTACTATTTCTACCCATCTCTCCAGAACACCCTTAAAAGTTTCTTCAACTTGTCTAAAACACAATCTGAACTCTTAAAAACTATTTAATATAAAACTGGTTAACTTATAAAGTTACAGATTCTATAAAGAAGGCAGTAACTTGAGTTTTGATGTGAATGCCTTCCTTCTTTAAAACATTTCTTGAAACACCTGAATGGGCCAGATGCCTTTTACTGCGACTTCAAAAGCTTTTCACCCTCAAAATATATTATGAATCACTTGAAGTAATTATGACTGTACAAGAAAAGGTAAATTAAGCACACTGGCAAGTAGTTTCAACATGTATTGTAATTTCCTATACTGGTAAAGCAAATCATCTTCTACTTGTCATAATATTTGCTTTATTTGAAACAACTGTGATAACAAAATCAAATACGCTACTGGAAATTTTAATCTCCAAGGGGAAATCTGTGCATAATGTCTAAGACACCACAATGGCTCTGCAAAGGGGCTGCTCCTGGGTAATGAGCACAGTAATTGCCCGGATAATCTAAAACGCTACTAATGGCACCATCACAAACCCACTTAGCGCCTCTTTAATTTATGTACCAAGTTTTAAACAGCTAATGGTTCTCAGTAAAATAATGGTTGATACCAACAATGAAGGATAAACACGGTATTCTCCTGCTTAATCAAGAAAAAGATCAGGCAGGTTTTTTTTAAGGAACCTGTGGATGAATGAGACTCCACCTTATCGAAGTAACAGAGCACGGTCCAGCCCACCTCAGCCCACCTCCCACCCTGTGCCTCAGTCCCTGAGAAATCAACACACAAGCCTCACGTTAGAAAGACTCGGTAACCGAGAAAACAAAAGGCAGAAACAAGCATCCCCAACTGCTCAGCACGTGCTGTTACCCCTGGCTTCAGTCATGTGAACACTGAAGCGCTTTAGCCTTTCTTCTCAAACTCATATTCACTTATTTGCTACACGATGGTTATTTTAGAACAGCAAAGTAAGATGAAACCTGTCAAAAAGCCAATTTAAACTCTTGCAGAAAGCTAAGTTATCATTTAAATTTGTCCTGTATTTTCCCTGTAAATACACCTCAATTTGAAAAACAGAAAAGCCTCCCATCTAACCGCAGATTCACTCAACATGGCTCCACACGGGCAGAAGTGCGGCGTCACGCGGGAAGGCCCACTCGGGGGAAGTGAGAACCTTACTGTCAGCGCTGCTCCTCCTTTGGCAGCTGCGCGGCTCTGGGACCAGCCCCCCGGCCCCCTCACCCCCAGTGCGCACTGCAACTGCAGAACCGACACGGGGCCACGGCTGCACCACAACTGAAACTCGTACAAAAAGCATATTCCTTGTAAGTGTCTTTGAAACAAATCAGCCCTGTATTTTCCACTTGTAGAAGAATCTTAAGAAATAAGGAAAAAATAATTTTCAGACGTTCACTCGTACTTCCGTATTTCAAGTAACTGAAACACAGACACTAAGTCTGCTCAATCGTGACAGCAATAACTTTTTCCAGTTTGGAGTTTTTAAATTAAAAGGTTTCGTGTTTTTACAAAAGAGCCACTCTAAGCTCCTTTTCCTTCTTCTCCAGGTTACCCACTCGGCTCTTTCTGCACGGGGACGCCTCGTCCTGCCTGCCCGCGCGCCGGCGCCACCCGCTCGGGACGTGTCTGAGCCGTTGCCGTTTGCTGCCCCATGAGCTGCGAAATAAGCAGCACTTCGTCCAGCTGACCCAGTCCGTTGGCTCAACAATCTGCGCTTCAAAAGCTCCCTAAGTAAGTGTCAGCAAGATAATTCTCAACGTTGCAATATATCACTTTAATTTTTAAAAGTCAGAATCTATATTTACACAAGAACCATTTAACAGTCTATTCTAAAAGAATACTTCATATTCTACATTTTTATTGACAAATTTTGCCTATTTTATATTCAGCATTTAAAATTTTTTTCCTTGCTTACCACAGAGTTATTACAGGAGACATTTTTTCCTTGAATATGTAACACTTAAAAAGAAAATGGGGTTGT